CTCCAAAACCCCAAAACCCCAAAACCCCAAAACCCCGTGAACAATACATTCGATTGAAATAACTGTGAAGAATTACCACCCGCTTTCTTGCTTTCTCAATGAATCGAACTTGTAGTAGTAAAACTCTGCATTCCTTCCAGTACTATCCTTGATGAACGGGATTAACTTGTGCAAATCATTATTTAGCAATTTTTCTAGCGAGCTCTAAAGATCACTTAAGATGGATTACCTGAACTTGCTGGGATAGATCGAAACTATCCAACTTTGTTGAGACAAAATCTAGCTTTTGAGATACAGATTTGACAAATTTAGTGTCGTAGCCTTGGATAAGATTATACAATTCATCAAGCTCTAGGAATTAAATCATTAACTTACTCTCTGTATAGTCAATATTTGCCTTGATTTTCTGTGTGCTCTCTGAGAGCATTGATTTCTTAAGGAACTCATACAATGTGATCACAAAGTCTATACCACTCTTGAAACTCCTGCGAGTCATCTTCTCAAAGATCTTCATAATGACAAAGAGAGGGTCTTGATTTGAAAGAGAGATCTTATTCTTCCTCAAAGAATATGGGTTCAGTACAAACCTATCCAAAGAGTAGACTTGCTTGTTGATTCTATTGTTACAAGGGAAGCTTACTCTTCTTGAACGTTTTGGGAAGAGTAATTCACATATTTTAGCAAATTAAGCTCTTCTGCTACGAAATTACTGATCTCAATGAGATTTGCCTGTACTTCAGTGGAGATATTCACTAGTTTTGGAACTATGATTTTAGAAGGAAATCATACCGAAATTTTCTGTTCTTGCCTTGAGTCTGGGTAAGAATGAACAAGAGATGCTTATTTCCTTACTAATGTTAACAAGTGATTTCTCATTATAATCTTCGAGCAATTCTTGACTTCTATAATATGAGATGAATAGCATACTGGAATCAGTCATGCCCCATAAGAGCTTGCTGGAGGGTTTCGTTATTTGCTTTAAGAATCTGGTATTTTTCTTTAATATACTCCTGAACAAACCTTTCTTGATAGACTGCTAAAGAAAGCTTTTGCTGTCTTGATAGCTTCATAGCAAGTTGTTTTTGAAGCTCTCTTTCAAATTTTGAAGAATTTGAGCATCAGATCTTAGACTTTGTAAATTGTCTTTGTAGCTCTACTTCAAAAAGTGCTTTTAGATTGCTGACTTTCTGCTTGTACTTCTTCATTAAATTTTCACTCTCTGAAACTGAGTCGCACTCTTCAGGGTTACTTTGTTGGAAATTTCATAATGAAGTAAATTCCTGCTTGAATTGATCAAACATCTTTTGGATGATCCCATTTACTGTATTAAGTAACAGTTGTGATGAGAACTTAAGTGATGGATCCATAACTCTAGCATGTTCTAAATTTTGAAGACTCTTAGTAATGACTTCTTCTCCAAGATCAGGTAAAATCTGCTTAACCATATTCTTTTTCTGAGCATCTTTCGAATTCTTAAGCTGTTGCATATACTTCCATCTATTCTCTTGAGCTACTTTCTCAAGATTAGTTGCTAAAAATTACTTAGAGTTTTTTACCAAGTTTCTCAATAGATGTTTCTTTGATTCTTCCAACAGGTGGCTGATCTGCAAGATCAGCCACTGCTTGGGTGAACTTCTCTTGGAGTTTGGTAAAGTTTCCTAACATTCTTCTTGATCTATTGAGATGGGCTTCCCTGACAATTCCTAAGAATTTTAGAAAAACCTTACTCTTTTCTGTGTCCTTGGTTTCTTGTATAGCTTTTTCTTTCTCAATATTTTGTCTAAAAGGTTACCCTATTTGGTACTTTTTCAGCTGTTTTAGTCTGGCGATCTTTTCACGAAGAGCTTTGTTAGCATCCCTATTTTCGTTTTATTTCAGATAATTTCTCGCTAGTTTTTGTGAGGAGGGTATAATAGGATTTAGACTTCTGACCCTTCAAGATTTCGCTATTTTCACCACTATTTGTCAGACTTCTGACTTACCTCTTTTCCTCAAAAGCTTTTAACTGTGACCTAAGTGTCTGAGTGACTTCTTTAGACTGAACATTTCGTGAAAGGAACTCAAAGATTTTGTATGCCTTCTGATTGTTAAGGATAGGTAGGATGTCAGACTTTAATATCCTTGAATCATCTGACTTTCTAAACACTTTGGAGGTGGCCTCTCCTTGATGACTCTCTGAAATATTATTTTCAACTCAATATTGATGTAAACCAAGATTGTTAAGATGACTTTCCAACTTTTCCGCGAGTTTTAAATGAGATAAGTTTTCGCTCATTTTTAATTCAAATTATTAATATCTAAAAGGGGTTTTGGGGTTTTGGGGTTTTGGGGTTTTGGGG